GTGTGTGTGTGTGTGTGTGTGTGTGCTTGTGTGCACATGTGTATGTCTGGAGAACATGGGGGTGAAACATTGGGGTATATGGACAAGAGCTTAGGTATATAGGCTCATGGACTTGGGTGTGTTTGTGTGTGCACGCACATGTGTGTCTCCATGGATATGGCAAGGCATTTGGTCTGACACCTGAGACAAGACCATCAAGAAAACATTTGTTGTTGAAGAAACTTGATTTACAGTTGCTCTGAGGGGGAAGACATGCCTTGGAGCACCTTTGGCATCTCATTAGGCTTTAGGCGATTTGGAGTTCAAAGGAGTAGTAGATGTTTTTCCTAGATTGGATGCTGTCAGTAACCATAATTAATTCTGATTTGTCATCTTAACAATTATAACAAGAAAGAGGCTAAATAAAGCTGGAAAGGGTAAAGAAGCAGCCGTTACCCATGTTCCATGTTGTGTGATTTACACAGTGATCTTGCTTTCGTCTGTGTTTAAGAAAGCTATGAAGTGAGTATGGATCTTCGTTTTCTTGTTAGTTTTCCTCATTTCACGTGGTCACAGAGTGGCCCTCTTCTTGGTTCTGTGATATTTGTGTATCTTCTTCACAAATAACACACCTACAGAAATAATGAGCTCACACGTATACTGACATAGCTCACTTAAATGTGTCGGAGGACAACTGCAAGATTGGAACTAAAGAGGAAGATATGTTTACTATTTGCATAAAAGACAGTTTCTGTTTATCAGGGACATCTCAGGCCTGGCTGGGCTGCCTGCTGGGTGGGAGAGGCAGGCCACTCTGGGTGCGTGCACTGGTTTTCCTGCACTCAGGATGGTGGCTAAAGAGCAGCCTGGGAGGGGCCCTTATTCTGACATTCCTAACTGCTGTCTAACTCTATGCAAATCACTTCTTTGGCCTGATTTTCCTTATCTGCAAGTAGCTTCATAGCCGCTCTCTGTATTAGGAGACATTGTTGTTGTTATGTGCCATCAAGTCACCTGTGACTTATAGCGTCCCTATGTATAACAACCCTAAACTCTGCTCTATCCTGTGCTAATCTTATTGTCTTTGATGCACCTACCCCTATTACCCTAGTCACTGAATGAATCCATCTCATTGAGAGTCTTCCTCTCTTGTGCTGTTCCTCCACCCTCCTAAGCCTAAGCATGACATCCCTCTCCAACGACTGGTCCCTCCTTACAACATGTCCAAAGTATGTCAGACAAAGCTTCAGAATCCTTGCCACCAAGGAGCAGCCTGGTCTCACCCTTTCTAGGACTGACCGGTTTGTTCTCCTAGCAGTACATGGTATACTCAATACTCTTCTCTTGCACCACAGCTCAAAGACATCAATTCTCCTTCTATCATTCCTAGTTATTGTCCAGCTTTCAGATACATAGCAAGTAACTGCAAAGACTATGGCCTGAATAAGGCAGACCTTAGTCTCCAGATTGACATTGTTGCTCTTCAGTACTTTGGAGAGATCTCTGACAGCAAATTCTTTCAACTCAATTTATCTTTTAATTTCCTTGCTGCTGTTACCAAGAGTGTTGATTGTGGAGTCAAGCAAATTAAAGCTGTTAACAATCTCAATCTCTTCATCATCCATCATGATGCTGCTAATCAGCCCAGTAGTGAGAATCTTTGTTTTCTTGATGTTGAGCTTCAATCCGTGTTGAAGGCTGCAGTTAATGACCTTCTTCAGCAAGTGCTTTGGGTCCTCCTCAGTTTCAGCAAGCAGGGTTGTGTCATCTCCATAACACAGAGTAGGAGACATAGTTACTGAAAACCAATGAACTGATGCTGCTTCTAACACAGAAAAGGCTGTGTGAAGTGCAAGGTAGCCTGGCAGGCTTGTGGGCTGGTCCATGTGTGTACGGGTGATGATAATATGCAGTGCACACATCTATTCCACACGTAGTGAGTTTGTTTGTGGTGTGAGAGTATATAATCATATGTCCTGGGATCTAACATAGGGCCTGAGACCAGGCTCAGAAATGCTGCCCTCTGGGCCCAGAAGGCCAGGAGTCTGGAGCCCATGAACCTGCCTAGAGTCTCACTCTCCTCCAATCCTTTCTTTCCTGAACCCCTCCTCCCTGAAGATAAGACATCCCCTTTCCTCAGGGAGGTGCAGGTCAACCTCATCGACTTCAAGAAGTGCAATGACTACTTAGTCTATGACAGTTACCTCACTCCAAGGATGATGTGTGCTGGAGACCTGCGGGGAGGCAGAGACTCCTGCCAGGTAGGCTGCTCCTTGGGGAACAAGGGTTCCGGAACCTGGGAAGTGGTAGAGGCTGGGGTGTTGGGTTGGAGTGAGAACTAGGTACCCCCTCCTTCCCTACACAAGGACCACTTTTCCTGCCCTTCTAATGTTCTCATTCTTTACCCTCCCACCCCCCAACAGGGAGATAGCGGGGGACCTCTTGTCTGCGAGCAGAACAACCGCTGGTACCTGACTGGAGTCACCAGCTGGGGTACAGGCTGTGGCCAGAGAAACAAACCCGGTGTGTACACCAAAGTGACAGAAGTCCTTCCCTGGATTTACAGTAAGATGGAGGTGAGCTGCTTGGTAGCGCTCAAAGTTGGCATATCCAGAAGAGGACTGGAAATAGGACTTCCCAGGGCCTTGGGCAGTGAAGCCCCTACCCTTCACATTCAGGGGTGTCTAGAAGGTGGAGAAAACCAGGACAGAAAAGATGTCAGATGTGGAGCCTATTGTGAATCCCAGCTGCCCTTGCTTCTCTTTTCCTCAGAGCAGCACTCAGGAAAAGAGTAGCCTCGACCCTGTGCTGTCCACGTTGTGGGCTCATGTGGGCCTCTAAATGGTAGGATGTCTCCTCCTCCTTGGCAGGAAGCTGGTCTAGTCGGGAGCTAGCATCAAGAGAGGGGTGTCTAACTCCGCTCTCCACTCTGCTGACCCAGCTCAGCCTAAACCTGCTGCCTTTCAGCTGTGAAATGACTGCCCTGGTGCTCACTTCTCTGCAAAGGGCAAGGGCAGAATGGCCGAGAGGTCAGATGAGGCCACAGGAGCAGGTCCTGCATGCTGGGTCCCTCAGAACCTCTTCCGTCTTTCCCATCTGCGGCTGCCCTTTCCTGAGTCCCAGTTCCATTTCGTCCTCTCTTACTCGTGATGACCCTTGGTCAGTCAGAATATGACTGTGAGCCACAGCGTTTGCACAGGCTGGCTTTTCAGGAACAGACCACCAGACCCCAGGGTCCTATGGGGAGAATTTGACCCTTCAAGATTTCAGTTAGCAGCCAGGCACATGAACCATTACACTGCCCAGGGGTTGCCATCAGATGATAGGGAGCTGGATTTCAGTCCTTCCCTTCTGTGTTCTCATCCCACCCCGTGCGCACTAACCCCATCTCCCTGTCCTCTTCCTCAGCGGGAGGTGCGCTTCCGGAAATCCTAAGGAGCTGTCCTGGCCCACTTCACTGCAAGGTCTGCTGGGAAGACTCTGGCTGAAGGGACTGGACCATTTACAATATCATCTGGGATAAAGGCATCCAGGCACCTCTTTGTAGACATCTCCACTGCTCTGTTTGTGTGTGTGTGTAAGGGCAAGAAAGAGAGACTGCTCCCATCTTCTTCAGAAACCAGGAGAGGAGCCAGCTCTCCAGATAATCTTGGTTCCAAACTGGAAATCACCTGAAGCTACTTGTTTGGGCACTGTGAATATCTCCACAAAGGATGACAGTCTGTAGTTGCATGAAGAGGTTGGAGACCAAACAGTTCAGAGAAGGGCCTGGAAGGTGACACTGGCAATTCTTGCCTTAATGACTAGACCAATCTGCAATCTGGGCGCATTGCTGTACCAGATGGATCAACAGGTTGCCTGGGAGTACCAGCATCTGGGTGCCTAGACTGTCCTTATTGGAAAGATGTTTCCAGTGGTGTTACAGGGATCCTGTTCTTAGACCTCCTGCTGGTGCCTTGGATGTCAGAGCTGGGCTGTGGCTGTCCAGGCTGGTGACTGAACAGGTCTAACTGGATTGGTTTGGTCATAAGTTGCTGTGGTTTATTTCATTTTTTTTTTATATTTAAAACATGGAAAGAGTTATATTTTTAAAGATTCTCACCCCAAATCCAGAAAACTTGAGAGCTACATCAATCATCTCAAGAACTTCAAGGGATTGAATGGGAGCTGCTCTATGCAGTGGAATGTTCCAGGCCATGGGACCAGACAAAGACTTTACACATCTCTCACACTGGTTTGGCCTCTGGGGCCCTTTGCAATACTCAGGGAAATGAATCCTCATTTGGGAATCCTCGTTTGGCAAGCAGGTCCTGGACAAAGAGAGCCATACACTATATACTGTTGCTGCCTCTGTGGGCTGGAACCAGGAGGTGAAGAAACCAGGAGGTTTGCTGCCCTGCTTAGATTCCAGGCTCCCTGGGAAATCTGAGTGGACAGGCATCTTTCATACTCAAGGACTGTTGTGGCTCATGGCACCGTGGGGTTTCCTCTCAGCCTTCTCCAACTGTCACTTTTCTCATTGTTCCTGAAATACAGCACTTGCAGGGAAATGGCCATGGAAAGGAAGATGATTAACACTGTCCCCAAGCCTTTCAGAGAGTCCTTCTTAAAGAATCTGAGTTGGTCTTATTTCCGCAAGATCTCCATGTTTTTGGCCTTCTCACTAGTTGAAGGTGGGAGTCTTCCTAGCCTTTTCCCTTGTCCACCTGCTTGTCTTCAGTTTCCTCACCTGCCTTGGTCCTTTAGGTGCCCCTCGTGGTGCTATGACTCCTGCAGGCAGGGCCAGCCTAGCCACCGGCACTGTGGTTATGCACAGTGCTCAGGGTGGGGGTGGAGGTGAAGGCTGCCCCTAAAGGGTTGGCTAGAGGGGCCGGGGGGAGAGAGTGATGGGGCTGCTTTCACTGATTATAGGAGGGGAGGAAATGTTCATGTCCACAGTGCCCCCCCTAGCAGGGGTCTTCCGCAATAAAAGTTGTGTGACCTGAAGAGTTTGTCATTGCATGCTTTAATGACACTCAAGGTAGAAAATTTAGATTGTCTACACAGGTGCCAGACATTTTCAGTTTCCATTTTCAGTTTGGATTCTGCTCACTTGACCATTCATCTGTCTATGGAGCTCTGGTGGCCTAGGGGGTAAGGAGTTGTACAGTCAACTCAAAGGCAGGAAGTTCTAATCTACTGGTTGCTCCAAGGTAGAAAGATAGGCAACTTCTTCTGTGTGATTTACAGCCTCTGAAAACCCACTGGAGGGTCATCTCTGAGTCAATTCTGACTTGAAGGCAATGAGTTAGTTGCTATCCTATCTAACTATATGTCTGTTGTCTCTCTATCTATCTAGCTACTACCTATTCTCTCTCTCTCTCTCTCTCTCTCTGATCTATCTATCTATCTATCTATCTATCTATCTATCTATCTATCTACTTAAGCCACGTGGGTGGGAGGGGGTTACAGAGAATGTACTGATATGCTCAAGGAACTCATGATCTAGTGTAGAAATAGACAGTAAGCAGACACTTCTGGCCCAGTGTGACAGAAGTTATGTGTGTGGACATAATACTTAGAACACAACTTAGAAGACACCAGTCATACTGAGAGGTCATGAAAAGATTTCAGGAAGTGGGTTGAAATGAGTCTGAAGCATATATGAATATTCACATGGCAGACAAAAGACAGAGGATAGACCCTCCACACTTGGCCTGTCTTTCCCCCCTTTCTCTCCCTCTGCCTCTGCTGACTCAGCAAGAGGCATGTTTACAAAAAGTTGAGAATGCTTGCTTGACAGTTTCCAATGGCTGGTCCATTGACCTCTCCTGAAGGTCTGCATCTTTTGGCTCTGCTCTTATTTTTCATGTGTCTAATATGTCAGTCTCAACCGTTGTGACCCCACCAGTGAATGCCCAGAAAATCTTGCCCTGGCCCTCAACACTCATGATTTTAGCTACAAGCATAGAATTCTCCTGGTTTATCTCATACATCTGTTGGACCTTCGAACACTGCTACTTTATTTACCTTAATCTTTCATATCAATGTAAGAAAAAGACTTCACTTCCGTGTTCATTTTATCTGCCAAAGAATGTTTGAGAGGAAGGGCAGGTATCATACTGCATTAATAGCTAACTAACTAATAATAACAAACTAGTAAGTAAACCCCACAATTTCATCGACTTACTCAACACTACTTAATAGTCCAATGGGGGCATCTGACACTTGAAAAGCTTTCTTCCGCGTGGCCTTTCAGAGATCCAGCTTCTTTCCATCTTATAACTTAATTATCTCAATGACATCTGTTTCCCATTAGGAGAAAGTAGCGCGGGAATAGAGGCCATACCCACTCCTTACCTGCTCCAGCCCCAAAGCGATATATGATTTTCCACTGATATTTTGGAGGTGGAAACATGTCACATGGCACTACCTGGATGAAGTGAAGCTGGGATATGTAGTATTTGACTAGTTCTCATGATAATGACAACCTGTAAGACAGATAATTCATTTTAGATCATCAACTACCTTTGTCACACAGAGGAAGTCTGCAACATCCCCAGAAATTAGGCCATGTCGATTGCTTCCTTTAATGCAGGGGTGTAGACTGTAAACCCTCCATACCACAAGAAGTTTGTGCCCTAGGAGAAAGGAAAGGGTCTGGTTTCTAAGGAGACAGGAGCAGAAAGCGACCCAAGTCCTAAATCTCAGCCCCAAAGCCTGGCTTCTGGGGATCTGATCTGTTTCCTTCAAAATGAGTTCTCTCTCTCTTGCAGGTCATCATTGTAGGAACGTGTTATTGTTGTGTATCTCCAAGTCAAACTGATTCATAGCTGACCCTTGAGTGGATTTTCAGAGGCAGTAAAACCTGTGAGAGGAGATTGCTCATCTTTCTCCACGGAGCAGCTGGTGAATTCGAACCACTTGCCTTTGGGTTGGCAGTCCAATTCCTTAACAATATGACACCGTAACTCCCTTTGTAGGGGAGGAAAGGAGCACAGCTTGCACAGTGGTTGACTGGCTGCTTAAGGAAAGGCTGGCTTTGTACTCACCAGCCATTCTTCATGAGAAAGATATGACAGTCTACTTTCACAAGTGTTTTAAAACCCAAAAACGAAATTAAAACAAAACAACACCCTCAACCACTGCTATTGAATCAAGCCAGATCCATAGCCGCCCTCAGTCGGGTTTCTGGGAGGAGACTTGTCATTTTTTTTCCCCCTCAGAGGGGTTGTGGATTTGAACCTATGACCTTTTTTTATTTCGCAGCCTGATGTGTTAGTTACTATGCCAGCAGGGTTTCTTCAGCTCAGAAACCCTCTGGGGTAGTTCTATTCTGTCCTACAGGGCCAGAATCAGCTAAGTGGCAATGCGCAGTGGGTACAGAGGCTACAAAAACCATGGACATGGCTAGTGGGGTTCCTGACAGGTCCTAGCTCTCCAGATGTATGTAGTAGAAAGAAGAGTTTCTGGCGATGTTTTCCTAGGTCCCTGGATGCCGGGCTTCTCTAGGAGGCAGGCAAATCTAATTATTTTATAAACTCTACTGACTGCTGAATTTTCATGGGGAGAAAGGGGAGGATGAGTATGTGCATTGGGGGTAGGGAAGATGATAGCTCTTTGAAGAAGCCAGTTACAACCTAGTTGTCAATCCAGCTGCCTTGGAGGCTTGGTTATACTCCCTAGGGTCATTTTCCCCCATAATTACCTAGTCCTTGTCTCTCTGCAATCGGCAGGCATGGGGAGATGGGAGTTGAGAGCTTCTAGTAATGATTGTGATGACAATGATGATAATAGCTAGCATTTGCTGGATGTTTGCGATGTGCCAGATGCTGCACTAAACACCTAATGTGTATTATCTCCTGTAGGCACAATAACCCCACGAAGCCAGCATTGTTATTGCCCCTATTTTAAAGATGAGACAACAGAAGCCAAGATCAGTGAAATACATTTCCTGAAACCAGACAACTATTAAGTGGTAGCTCTGAACTTTGAATCCAGGCTGATTTTAAAAGCTGCTTTCCGAAGTCAGGTAGAATCTCCAAGCTGCAACCTCACAGGGTCTGCCATCTGGCTTTGTGTATCTTTCCACTCTGCAGCTTGGGTTTCTGGTATAAGAAAGACTGGGTAGGACAACTCCCTGGAGGAACCTGGCTGGGTACATCCCTTAGAGCATCCCAGGCCTAAATGTGAGGGAGGCTTCCCGGCATCTCCTCCAACCTGAACTCAAATGCATGATTTCTGGGAGGTCCTCCCATGCCGTGACAAGCTGTCACCCCTGGACATCTCCATGTCACCAGGATGTGGGTGGATGGCTCTGAGAGGCACATGCTGTTCATTCCCTATGTCCTCTGCACTGGCCCTTCTTGCAACAGCTGTACCCAACCCAGGAAGCAAGTTCCACCTGGTCTTACAATGAATGGGTCCACCCTGAAGACAAGGAGAGCCATTATAAG